CATACACGGACTCTGGATCATCTTAAAGTTTTGTTAGAAGGGGGGTGTGGGAGGAAATGTGCCTGTCACTACCTTCATACTCCAGCACTGCCACATGCTGTTGTATATGAACTGGAAATACCACACTTGTGACACTGAGTAGTAAGAAAATAACCAACTTCCTTTTCACAATTCATTTTGACTGTGATTAATAATGAGTCTGGAAGTTGCATGCTTCTATTTTACTAATACCACCACTGCTGCTACCAGCCACAAAGATAAGGCATTGAATGGGTTTTTATTGCAAAGCTCATTTTAATTTCTTTGTTCCCCACCAAGCTCTTCCATGCTTGGCTCCCGAGGACTAAGACACTCCTTTATGTTGGACGAGTGCTTGGCCTTGCCACGTTGTTGCTCAGGAGATGGCTGAGTAGTAAGTAGAGTGATACAGTTTAAACTGGAAGAAACAACAGTGTGAAAAATTAAGAAGCACCAAAACAACCCTCCACATCCCTCAGGTGTAATTTCCTGCACAAATCTTTCATGGGCTGAAGGAAGGTTTGTGTCCCAGTCAGCAGCAGGGCCTCACACAGGCGCTTGTATTCCAGGGGAGGGGAAAGACCAGAGTTTAAGTAACTTCCAAAACACATTTTTAAGTTTGTTTGAGGAAAACAAACCAACCACCCCTTAAACAAACAAACACCAGAGTTAACACCATTGCCACTGCTGTTAAGTACCTTTTCCCTTTTGCTTGCTTTGCTGTTCCTAAGGGATGGTGTTGAAAGCTCTACTGACCAAGACCGTACATGCTTGTGTTCCACCTTTTGTAATGTCTTCTTGTCTCTGTCAGATCTGGTATTTCCTTATTCCAGGTCAGTAACAATAACCCAGTGGTTCAACAAGTTTCATACCACTAGAGGGAGCGCTGCTACAGCTGATAGGAAAAAGGTTTTCAACTAGGAGCCACGCTGTTCGTAATAGTGCGCATAAACTTGTGGCTAACGATCACATCTTACAGGCACTAGCACTGTACCTTGTTACAGGCTTGTTTCTCTCATCTGTTATAACCCCCCTGTTTAGTCTCCTGCAGAAACTTACCCCGTGGTGCATTGTGGCAGGGATGCCAGGCTGGTACATCAGTATTTTCCACCCTGTTTTGTCAGAGAGAATCCTGGTTGTAGGATTATGGAAGTTAAGTAACATAATAGGGTTATTTTAATGGGCCGCTCCAGTGAGTTCTGAAGATGATTATCAGATTACCTTCACAGAATCCTGGAATGGTTTTGGTTGGAAGGAACCTTAAAGCTCATCCAGTTCCAACCCCATGCCACAGGGAAGGACGCTTTCCACTAGAGCAGGTTGCCTCAAGCCCCTGTGTCCAGCCTGGCCTTGAACACTGCCAGGGATGGGGCATTACCAACAATTTAATCCAAAGTGCTTTTAGCTTTAGTTCTGCCAGCAGCAGGAGCCAGATTACCTCCTTCCTGCTGTGCTGACAAAGAGTTTGTTCTGCTGGGCATCATGGACCGTGATGTGTAGGGGAAAGAGATGCCATGGAGGTGGAAGCAAGCAGCATGGAGGTGTGCAGCCCACTTCAAACGCCAGAGCAGTGCTGTCTGGGGTCTGCAAATGGAAGGGAATGTGCTGCAAGCCTTGCTGAGAAAGTAAGGTCGGGATGTGTGCAGGGAGACTTCATCTGGCCTCGCAGAGCCAGCACATGGGAAGAAGCTGGTTGTTAACTTCCCAGCCAACATGGTAATCGTGTTTGATACTGGACAAAGCATTGAATGGCCTAGATAAAAGCAATCGGGTTGTTTAATTGGAAATGTCTTGCTGGTTTACATAGACTTAGTGCCCTATTTTGATGAGATTTAGAATTGTGCTGAAAAATTGTTTCCATGGAAGCAGAGATCACTAAAGAAATAAGGAACTCCACAGCTCCTGCAGGATTATTCCTTTTACAGCCTGCTGTTCGAAGTAATTAACTCTTGTAGTGCCATTACAGCTTAGCATGGATTAAAGGAAATAATACTTATTTAGTGTCATAGAGGCACTACACACACATATTTTTATATCTGTATATAGGTATTTGGAAAGAGTTTTGTCTTCATAATAAGTCTGTTCTTATTTACAGAGGGGAAAATCCACCAGTACAAAGAAGTGCACTTTATGCAGCACCATCAGGGAAACTCAGGACTTGTTTCTCTTTGCCCTGTTCTTGTCACTGTTCTACACTTTTTGCTTGGTGGAGGGTGTGTTGTAAAACTATTATTGTGCTTCTGCCCACCTTTGAGGGAAGAGTCAATGAAAGTGGTTTTACTTAAGGAAATGGCAAGGAGAATCTTCCAGCAGTGAGAGCAGACTGGCTCATTGCACAATTGATGGGTTTCCTTCCTTCCATACGTGGCTTTTGACAGCTCCTTTTTCTCTACTTCACTGGAAGCATCTGTAAGAAGGGAAACTGTCAGATGATACTATGAGACTGAGACCAAGCGTGAACATCTGGAAACATCACACAAGCAAAGTGCTATTCACTAAAACACTCTGCCCAGCCTTGTGGTGCTTTCTAAGCACAGGGGCGGTGCAGCTTTTGGCTGCATGGAAACTGCCAGGCCTCCACTCAAGCTGGATTACAGCAGTTGAGGCTCTGCCCTCCAGAGAGGGGAAACCCAAACCCCCTCTCTCAGTAAAGTTTATAATACGAAATGGAAGAAAGACAGGATGTGAGGATGTGGGTGACAGTTAAATGGATTTTGATTTTGAAGGTGGGATGTGAAGTTGAAAAAAAAAGTAGATTATTACAGGTAGATAAATGAGGGAAATGGGATGAGTTACTAAACTCTGATCAAAAAATGAAGATGACAATGCGAAATAGCAGCCATGTAATAGTAATCATTTGGGCTGGAGATAGCAATCATTTTCTAAGAAAGGTAACTACTGTTGTTTGTATCTGATGGAAGGGGAAATCATAGAATTGTACAATACCAGGTTGGAAAGCTAATGTGATAATGTGCTACACATTAGGAGACAGAAATAGTTTGAAGAACTTGTTTTACCTTTGCTCCCACAAGTAGCGTGGATTTCTGTGGCTTGTTTAGAAACAGGTCTAGTGGCAAAGGTCAGCGTCAGATTGTCCTCTTCTACTCCATTCTCATGAGACCCCCCCCCCTGCAGTCCTGATCCAGCTCTGGGACAACAACACAAGAGGGATTTGGAGCTGCTGGAGCGAGGCCAGAGGAGGCCCCAGAGCTGCTGCGAGGGCTGGAGCAGCTCTGCTCTGGAGTCAGGCTGAGAGAGCTGGGCTGGGGCAGCTGGAGAAGAGAAGGCTCCTGAAGGGGACACCTTAGAGCAGCTCCAGTGCCTAAAGGGGCTACAAGAAACCTGGAGAGCAGCTTTGGACAAGGGCCTGTAGGGACAGGACAAGGGGAATGGCTTGAACCTGCCAGAGGGGAGATTGAGATGAGCTCTGAGGCAGAAGTTCTTCCC